CTTCGTCGCCGTAGCGATGGTCCGCAGAGCCACCGTCTCAGTCGTGGTCGACGTTGACGTCGCCGTGCACGGACGAAGGTCGGTGCAGAGGACCCGGTCGGTGTATGTTGCCCGACCTAGGACGTCCCCCGCTGCCGAGACGAGCAGCATCCCGCCACCGTCGTCCTGCAGTTTCACGCCGCTCTCCTTCAGCTGACCGGCCGATAGCAGGTTGGCATGCACGCCCGGGACGTAGAGCACGTCGGGGATGAGCACCAGCTTCCCGGCCTCTCCTTGCAGGGCGACGGTCCCGCGGCCCTGGACGGCCTGCAGCGCCCCATTGAAGCCGCGCACGTGCTTGACGTCGCCGCTTGGCCCCAAGTCGACGAAGACCTCCTTCGTCCCCATCAAATGGTGCGAGCAGCCGCTATCGAGCAGGACCACTGCCGGGTTCGCCTGCACGGCTGCTGCCACGGCCTGGAAGTCCTCGCCGGCCTCCGGCGCCAGCGAGACGGTCGGCTCCACGACGCCGACCAGCGAGCACGACGCCTCCCCGTCGGCTCGCCCCTTGCCGCCAGAGAAGGAGTCGGTGTCCTTCGCCGACGCCGACTTGGTCGACTGCTTCTCCCTGCGCGGCTTGTTCTCCCGACGTGGGCGACGACCGGCCGACCTCCCTCGGCCTCCCTTGGCGTCGTCGTCGTCGGACTCGCTGCGGTCGGGGCACTCGAAGGAGAGGGGGTCGGGGTCGCCGCACAGCCAGCACTCCCGACGTCGACTTCCTCCTCCACGACCGCTATCCTTGGCCAACCTGCCCTTGTCGGCGTCCTTGGCCGGTTTCCCACCTCCGCTAACACCGCCGCCAGGCTTGCCGCGCTGCCCCGGTCGACTTCCTTGCTTCGTCGGGGCGACGTAGTTCACCTGCGGCAGGAGCTTCGTGGACCTCTCGGCCTCCTGCATCGCCTCGTCCCTCAGGATGTACGAGGTCAACGAGTCCTCGTTGAGCGACTCCCGCGTGCCCGGCACCACCGACAGCCGCTTCATCAGGTTGTAGCTGCTCGGTAGCCCCTTGATGACGTGCGTGACGTACGACGCCGTCGAGTATTCGACGCCGGCCATCCGCATGCAGGCCAGGAGACGCCGAGCTCGGTTGCAGTAGTCGGTCGCCGTCTCCTGCTCGCCCATCCGCAGGTGCGTCATCTGCTCCTCCAGCTGGCCGATGCACAGGTCGTCGGTGACCTGGTACGTCGACGTGATGAACCGCCACGCCTGATGTCCGGCGTCCATGTGACGCCTGCACAACTTCAAGGCAATCTGCACCACCGGCGAGCTGCACCGCAAGATGACCGTGAAGGTCAACAGCTGCACGGCGCGGAACTCCGCACGCAGCTCAGCGTTGCTCTCAGGCGGTGTCTCCACGGTGCCGTCGGCAAAGCACATCAGCCCAGCCATCTCTAGCTGGGGCTCGATGGCCTCCTTCCACGTGAGGAGGTCGTGACGGCCGACCAGCAGGGGGTTGACGGCGATCTTGTTCGGCGGGAACTTGAAGTACCCGTAGGTCGGCGCTATCCCCCCTGCTGTCACGTGGGTCGCCGACGCCGGCGTCACGCTGCTCCGACGTCCTCCGACGTCGCCGTGCGAGGAGCCCGCAGCCGCCGACGACTGCAGCCCTCGCGCCTGAACGCCTCCGACTTCACCGTCGGCCGTCCGGAACACCCCTCTCTGCCTCGACGTGCCTCCCGCACTGCTGCCGACTTGGTTACCGGCGTGGACGCCCACGTCGACGCCGCCTTCGTTGTTCACCTGTCGAGGAGAGGCAGGTCGAGAAGGATGCTCCGTCGCCCACTTTGCGCGGATGCCTAACTCGACGACCTCCAAGAGGAGAGTCTCCCCGTACTCGCCATCTGCGTGGCGTCTCCTCGCATCAGCTAACCGTGTCTCCAGGGTATCCACTACGCCTGCGTCACCTACGGCGCCCACCATGGTGACTAACACGCGGCTGCCGACCTACGAACACGATAGGTATGTGGAACTAAGTCGACTAGACTGAAGGTAAGTCGCGGTGCCGTCCACGCTCACCGCACCATGCGGAGAAAACTCGTACAACGGGAGCTAGTCTACGGGGTAGGCACGGGGTAGGAGTGATCGTAGCATTCGTTCCTTAGTCGTTCACTTGTGCTCTCTCTACTTGCGCATTCACAGGGAAAGTTGGCAAGAGTTGCACTAGCAAAAGTTTACAACAATGGTAGACAATGGCAAAGCAACACTGTCTACATCATGAGCTAGCATGCAAGCAGGTCGACTGCCAGCACAGCACGGTCGACCGCGTTCCAACACGACATGGTCGACCACGCTCCAGCAGTGCAAAGTCGCGATCTTCCAACGCTGCAAGTCAACGGCGTGCCAACGCTGCAGGAAGGCGGCTGCACAGCGTTGCACCCGCAGGACAACAACGCACCCGCTTCGCAGGTGCTCGCAGTTGATTGGCGTGCTGTGCCTCGTCACCTGCACAGCGCAGACTCCAAGCCGACCTCATGCCCACGACTGCACCTGATCCGCCCACGTCGACCTCGGGATACCACCTCCGAGGTCGGCTTCGCCAGAACCACCTGGGCGACTGTCGCGCACCTCCGCTGAACTTGGTCGACCTGGAAACCACCAGGTCGGCGTCGACTTCTTTGGGGAAAGTCGACCAAAAGTTGTACGTGCTCGTCGACTGCCCAAGTCGACGACCACCAGCCGACTTCACCAAGTCGACCACACCCCTGGTCGACCGAACCCAGGTTGACCAGCCCTGCTGTCAGCCGACCACACCAAGTCGGCTTCACTAGGTCGGCGTCACCAAGTCAACGCCCTGCCAGGTCGATCCCAAGTCGACCTCCTGAAGTCGGCGCCATCCCAAGTCGGCGCCCACTGCTGCAACTCGGCTGCACCTCCCGCACACCCGACCACGAAGTCGGCTCCGCCCAAGCGAGGACGGGGCCAACACACAACTCCCGTTGACAAGGTCGCGCCACTCCGCGCGCGTCGAAGATTCCGCGCCGTCTTCCGCGCAGGATCCCTTGGAGGCGCTCTGCGGCTGTTCCAGGGAGGGGATCTTCTAAAGTGAAAAAAACGTTGCGTGTTGCGACTTCGAGCTCCAGCGCCGACATTCCTTCGTCCGGCGGTGCGTATCGCTCAGCTTCGGTGATGGTGGCGAGCCCCCTTCCTGCGATCGCGTTCGTCGATGCCGTCGGCGTGTGGCAATCTCTACAGATGCCGTCAGGGTGGGGGTCATGTAACACGACTTCGCGCTTGTGCGGGTGATGCGGCACCCATGGCCTCCCGTCGGGGTGCTTCCACTCAGAGCGGTGGATGTGTTCGAAGCGCAACGGAATGAGATCGATTAACTCATCCGTGTCGCCGCTGCAGTCGGGGATGTCGAAATCCGGCACGTACACGCCGTTCTCAGAGTGTGCTCATCCGATCTGCTTGCGTGGCTTGTCAGGCGCCGCGTAGTGCATAATGATGTCGCGTGATTCGGGATCGGTGCTGAGTTGCACCCCGCAATCCGTGAGTTGCGACGCCGAGAGGAGGTTGAACCTCATATTCCGCACGATGAGCACGTCATTTAGCGTGACGTGCGTGTTGCTCTCGTGCGCCTTGAGGACGACAATCCATTGCACGCTTGCCCGCAGGCGGTCGTTGTTCGCCACGGTGATGTACGTAACCGTGGGGGTTGGGACGGCGTTGGATATGAAACGCGCAGAGCCCACCATGTGCTGCCCGCAGCAGCTGTCGAAGTACCACGTGTTGTGGTGCCTGTGGTCATCGCGCGCCAGCAGCGCTAGTCTCGGCGTGACGATGTGCGGAGTGTCGAAATTGAGAAACTGTTCGCGCGTGAGCCAATCGATGGGTGCCACCCATGAATCAGGTACATGCAGGGGGCTCTCAAGCAGCGGGATTCGTAAGTTCCAATCCTCGTCGTCATCGTCGTTGTAGTCGTGGCCATGCGTAAACGGTTTGTTGTCCGTGAAGGGCCCGATAGGGTGTAGCGCTGGCTCTGGCGGCGGCCTGCGCACGCACACATTTCACAGGGCCGTCAATTCGTCAGCCAGGTTGCCTTGTGATTTGCGATTTCCGCAGATGTGCATGTACGAAAGTGTCTAAAATGGGTGGCCTCTGCGCGCCAATGAGATCCCCAAGAATGGAACATTGTGCTTGACAGTTTTTTTCTGGATCGTTACAAGGACGAATGTGCATTGTTTCACTGATCGATTCCCTAAAGCGATTGTGAGAATCGATAAACAATCACGATCCTCCGAAATGGGCACTTTTACCGCGTCCTAAGCAGGATATGAAGATGATATGGTTCTGTAATGGGTGTGCGCCATGGGGTGCAGCATGCTGTATGGAGGATAGTAGAAACGAGTTCGCTGTATCGCGCCTCCAACCTGCTTGTTGCCAAAATTCCACGGAACTTCTCTGTGGGACCTCCAAGCTGGTGCTTCCGTCAAAGCGATTCTTCTGTTCCGCAAAACCACGTCATTCCTGACGCCAATTATCCAGACAGGCAGCGCTCCGTCAAGGAGGAACAAAGTTGGTTTCACCGTCAGGAACGGCAATACCTAGGCCATCCATCCACTTGTTTTGTTTGACCAGGTTGGGAAGGTTCTGGTATGGTTTGGTGTGGTATAGTGTTTTTCTGTAGCTCATACCGCGGTGCTGTTGCCATCCCCTTTGGGCATCCTTCTCGTCCCATACATACACTAGTGTACGTACAGCCTCAACGGAGTTTCTGGCTGAGAAAAAGGTCCCACCACCACACAAACAGTTTTAATATTATTGGTTGAGAAAGTGGCATAAGCAACACCAATCATGCAGGAGTAGTCATGGCTTGCCAACGAGCTGTGCGGGACCTGTGCGGACATTAGCGATTTAATTATTAAGGCCTCTCCATTCTCTCCGCTTTACGGTTATTATTATTTAATCTATACCTGATGAGTTGCTTGACAGCCACACCGATGCACGGCACGTCGTGAGCCATGAGTGGTCCATATAGAGGTTCCCGATGGGCCTCACAAGACGGTAAGCCGCTAGCCAACGGTCGATTAGGCGCAGAGCTGTCGCCGCCTCGCGGGCTGCACGCTCGGCTTCCGTCATACGAGGATCAGCAGGGCCATGCGCAGCAGGCTCAGGTGCAGCAGGCTCCGGCGCAGCAGCTGGTATACTGGGAGCAGCAGCAGCAGCAGCAGCAGCAGCAACAGCAGCAACAGCAGCAGCGGCAGCAGCAGGGTCAGCAGCAATGGCAGGAGCCGCCGTTGCGGATGCCGCCAGCGCCGGTGCCGTACGGCCAGCGGCAGCACCAGCAGCTGCAGCAGCAGCCGCCGCCTCGGTCGGGCCTGAGCGCTCGACCGCGTGCGACAGCCAGTTCGTCGTACGAGCAACGGCCGTCGTACGAGCAGCGGCCGTCGTACGATCACCGACCGCCGTACGATCACCGTGCGTCGTTCGATCAACGGCAGTCGTACGAACGAAGGCCGTTATCCGCATCTCCCGGTATCGCCGCGGTTCGCTCGTACAGCACGGACGCTCCCCCGGATTTTATCAATCCGCGACCGCTTTCGGCAGCAGCAGGCGTGCCACGTGGCCGCAGTGTGAGCGACGACGATAGGTACAGCGGAGACGACGCGACGTCAGGTCGACCAATGGTTGACCGACCCGCGGAAGGTCGACAGACCGGCCCTTCATCCGGTTATCCCGCAAACCCTTATCAGGCCCCTCATCAGGCCCCTTACCAGGCTCCTTATCAGGCGCCTTATCAGGTGCCTTATCAGCCGCCGCAGCTGCCGTACCATCACCCGCAGCTTAGTCCTCACGGCGGCGATATCGCGTCGAAGAAACCTATCAGTCCGCGACAGGGGAGGAGCCCTAGTAGAGCCCTTAGCCCGCTCGCAGCTGCCGCGTTCGGCATGCGAGGGGGTTACGGCGCGCCGGGGAGGGGGAATGAGGAGTTCGTGTACGGGGAAGACGAGGAGGGGGAGGAGGAGGAAGGCCGCGAGCGGAGCTTGCGCGCGGGGATACTGAGAGGCGCAGCGGCGCTGAGAGAGCGGCAGGCGGGATCGTCGGACGACGGCGCGAGCACCTCCCCCACGTCGATTGGCTCCCCCGGAGTTCTGCCGGGGGGGGGTGCGGGATGGAGCGGAGCGGGCGGCGGAGGATTAGGCGGCGGGGGCGGAGGATCAGAGCCGTCGAATCGTCCCAGCACTGCGAGCAGCACCAGCAGCACCATGAGCGGCGGCGGCGGCGGGTTTGGCGGAGGGTTTGGCGGAGCGGGGAGCAGCAGCAGCAGCAGCAGCACGGGGGTGACGGTCATACGCGGAGTCATGGCGGGGGGTTCTGTGGGTAGAAGCGGGGGAACAACCCTAGCGGGAAAGCAGGTGGTGATTCGGATTCGACCGAGGGGCGGCTCCATAGACGCGTCGCACGGAGTGGGTTCCACTAGCAGCAGCGGTGGCGGCGGCGACGGCGGCGGCGGGGCGGACGTAGGCAGTGGCGCGGGGGCAGCGGGTTTCACGGCGACGGTGACGGCTGTGCTTCCGGCAGGCGCGGCTTCCCCCCAGTCCCCGTCCAGCGCGCGCAGACGGGAGGCGGGAGGGGCGGGCGCGCCTGGCGCGGGCGGAGGGAGGCTAGAGGGGGTAGGTAGGCACACATTCGCAGGGGGTAGCACAGGCGGCGATGCTGCAGTGGAAGGCGGGTATTCCCGAGAGGCCAACCTCACTCTCCCTGGCAAGCGAACCGACGCCTCTTCCGAGCCTAGGTTCAGAGGTGTCTCGCGGCTAGGCTCGGTGGCTTCTGCCGAAGCAGCAGCTGCGGCAATCGCGGAGGCGGACGCTGCAGCAGTGGCGCAGGCGGGGAAAGCGGGGTGGGAGCCGCCTCTCAGCCCCACAGGGGTCCCTGCCATCCCCCCGGAGGGCCGTCTGAGCAGCGAGGGAGACGTTTTTCTTGAGTATCTGCGCAAGGCGGGGGAGGGGAGGGCAGCTGCGCAGTATGACGTGGCTGTGTGCTACGGAGGGGGCTTTGGCGTGAAGCAGGATAAGTTTCTCGCCGCGTACTGGTTCAGAAAGGCGGCAGAGCAGGGATTGGCCCGCGCACAGTATGCCCTAGCAGAGTGCTATGAGACAGGTGCGGGCGTGGAGAGAGACGAAGAGGAGGCGTTCCGGTGGTTCTTCCGGGCGGCAAGCTTCGGCAGCGGGAAGTATTTGGTGAAGCTGGGGCTGTGCTTTGAGCGGGGGTTCGGAGTGACGGAGTGTCCTGTAGCGGCGCTGTACTGGTACCATAAAGCGGCGGAGCAGGGGCCGAAATTCGCAGCGCAGGTGGAGAAGCGCATGGAGGTGCTGCAGAGGCAGAGGGAGGAGGAGATCATGAGTGCGCGTGGGGAGGGCGTGCCGGTGGAGTGCATCTGCCCGCTGACAGGGAGGATGATGGAGGACCCGGTGGAGCTGCCAGAGACGGGCGTGTGCTGTGAGCGTGTGCAGGTGAAGACGTTCTGGGACCACTGCGAACTAAGATGCCCCGTTACCAACCAGGTGGGTTATTAACCAGGTGGGTTATTAACCAGGTGGGTTTCTGTGACAGTCTTGGGGTCATCATGAAGCCCTCTGGCACTTACTCCTTACAGGCTTTTCTCGGCTCTTCACTTACTCCGTACAGGCTTTTCTCCGCTCTTCACTTACTCCTTACAGGCTTCCTCATCTCCTTTTTTAACCCTTATCTTTCCACCCTCCCACCTTCCCTCCTCCCACCCACTTACTTTCCTGTTACCAGCCTCTCAAGGTGAAGGACATGAAGACAAATCTATCCATCCGACGCCGAGTCACTGAGTGGAAGGTAGGCACCCTTCATTTCCCAGAACCTTTGTTTCTCTCTTTTTTTATAGCTCCTTCTCTTCCTCATTTCAAGTTTCCACCACCCTCTTCCATCCCACGTCATGTCACCCCACAACCTGCCTATCCATTCCCCCCACTCCACTCTTCTGCTCCCCACCCCTCTCTTGCCTCTCCGCTGGCCCTTCACTCCTTATCCGCGACCATCCTTTTTCTCCTTAACCCCTCACTCCCCAAACCCTGACCAAACCTTCAGCACAAACGGCAGGTGGTGCAAGAAGCACCATTTCTGAGGTGCCTTTCAATTGAGCCCCTCTCCCCCTTCCCATCCCTCACTTCTCCCCCCCCTTGTCCCCCTCCCCCCTCTTTCCCTCCCTCCTCACCCCCGCCCCTCCCCTCTCTCCCCTTGACCCCTGACTTACTAAACCCCGGCCAAACGCTCAGCGCAAGCGGCAGGCGGAGCAGGAGGCTCTACAGGGGCCAATGGGGCCGCGGGCGTCCACCTGCCAAGCAGTTGCTAGTGACGAGTGGGGGCCGGGTGGGGGAGACGATGGGGAGCACGGCAGGGCTTATGGGCCTCACCAGGAGGAGGAGGACGAGGAGGAGGAGGAGGACGGGGAGGAGGAAGGGTTGGAGGGTGTGGGAGGGATCGCGGTGGGCAAGGTTGGGCTGGGGAGTGTGGGAGGGAAGGGGAGGGGAAGAGGTGGAGAGAGGGAGGGAGAGAGGAGGAAGAGCCGATTTTCCAGGGATTTATCGGAGGAAGGGGAGAGGAGTGGGGCGAGTGAGAGTGAGGGGGAGGACGAGGAGGACGTTGGTGGGAGGTCGAGAGGGGTAGGTGGCGGGGATAAGCGGGGGGATGCAAGGGATGGTGTTGGAGGGGGGAGGAGGAGGGGGGAGAGGAGGGATAGGCACAGTGATAGTGATTCGGGTTCGTCGTATGCTAGTGATGAGGATTATGACGATGATTACGATGATGGGGAGGAGCGGAAGCACAGGCACAGGAAGAAAACGTATGATGATGATGATGGGTCTGTGGAAGATAAATATGATGATGAGGATTATACTTCTAGTGAGTACGACAGAAGCGAGGATAGATCGACAGACAGTGAAGGGTACAGGGAGGGGAGCAGGGAGGGGAGCAGGGAGAGGAGCAAGAAGGGGAGCAACCGTAGGAGTAGTCCTAGAAAAGGGTCAGGGAGGGGGCAAGGCAGCAGCAGCAGGGGGGGGAGGAGGGATGAAGATGGGTCGGACTATAGTGACAGTGACTACAGCCGTAGTGACTCTGACGAGGGGGAAGGCGATGAGGGGGGCAGAGGTGGCAGGGGCAGGTCCAGTCGAGTGGCGGACAGGAGCCGAGAGACAAGCTTCAAGTCAAGAGAGGGAGACAGCGAGGAGGGAGAGGATGGGGAGGAGGGAGAGGTGGCGGTGGGGCGGGCGTTGGCGCATGATTCGTCCCGCGACCGGTCTCACAGCTACAGCCGAGGCTCCTCCTCCCGGGCGTACAGTGAGAGCGTGCCATCTGAACCGTCCATGCGCCGAGATGCGTCTCTGGATGAGCCTGCGAGGGTAAAGGTGTCCATGCCTCGGGGTGGGTCCGTTGGTGGGTCTGTTAGAGGGGAGGGTGCTGTTAGGAAAGAAGGGTACTTGTCTGGTGAGGAGGAGGGAGACGGAGGAGTGGGGCTTGGAGTGAGAAAGGGCGAGGAGGAAGAGGGTGATGAGAGGGAATGGACGGGGGAGGAGGGGAAAGGGAGTGTGGGCGGAGTGGGAGTGGGTGAGGTGGAGGGTGAGGGGTTGGGAATTGGTCGGGTTGAGACGGGGGAGACAGCAGAAGGGTTGGAGGAGGAGGGGTTGGAGGAGGAGGAGGAGGAGGAGGAGGGGGAGGAGGAGGAGGAGGAGGGGGAGAAGAGGGATCCGACGGAGCTGCTGCTGGAGGAGCTGGCTCAGGCCGAGCTGGACTATGGCTTCCCGGGGGCTAATGTGAGCTCGTTTATCACTAAGTGCTCTTATCACTAGGTGGTTTTTATCACTAAGTGCTCTTATCACTAGGTGGTTTTTATCACTAGGTGCTCTTATCACTCGGTGCTCTTGTCAATTGGTAGGTGTTCTGTTCGGTGGGTGCTCTTTCCAGTCGATGTTCTTTGTATCTGCTCTATCAGCTGCTGCTTCAATAAGCAACTTCAGTTGCCACTGTTTAGATTCGGTTAGGTGCTCCTCAGTCCCCCGTGCACCCGGTAATTGCAAGGACGCACGCACACGGTGCATCGGTGGAACAGCATTGTGCTGACTGAATCTGTAATTTCATCCCCCTCTTCCCCTACCCCCCCCACCCCGCAACCCTAGACCTTGCACTGTGATTCTCTGAAGCAGCATTCAACGGTTTATTCATTGCATGCCTCTCTGCCCTGCCCCTTACACCCTTCCCTTCACCCTGTCCCCCCACTCCTCCCCATTCCCTGCACACAGGTGAGTCCGCGCACGGTGAGTCGGTGGAACAGCACGCGCGAGGACAGCCTGCAGGCCGTCAAGAGCGTCGTGGCGGAGGTGAGGGGGATGGGGAGGGCGGGACGGGAGGGGAGGGGAGGCGAGGGGAGGGGAGGGGAGGGGAGGGAAGGGGACGGGACAGGACGGGACGGGACGGGAGGGGAGGGTAGGGGAGGGGAGGGAAGGGAAGGGGATGCGAGAGGCGGTGAGGGGAGGTGAGAGGAGGTGAGGGGAGGTGAGAGGAGGTGAGGGGAGGCAGGTCGGAAAGGGAAGGTGATTTCTGCAAACGCCCCATCCCCTCCACCCCACTCTCCTCCCTTCCCCCTCCCCTGTCAGCTGGAGTCAGTGTTTGACTGTGGCACGTTTCCCGAGAACTTTCGCTCTGCATTGCATCCCATTGCATGGATACCCCCTAAACGCCTTATCTTTTCCACCTCCCCCAATCTCTCAGGCGGAGCCAGTGATCGACTGTGGGCCGCGGTGGGCGCTGGCACGATACCTCGAGGTGCTCGAGAAGCTGCTGCTCGTGCAGCGGGAAGCTGCACAGAACCTTCTGGGGTCATGCGCGGGCGGCACGGGCGGTTCGGGCAGGGGAGCGGGCGAAGGCGAGGGGGAGGTGTGGGAGGCGGTGGAGGCATTGGAGGGGCTGTGTGCACGCGGCGTGCAGCAGCTGCTGGATGACTTCAGGGCCGCGCTGCTCGCCTGCAGGTACCGTTGCCTCCGGTGTTCATGTGTGTGTCTGTGCCTGTGCACTGCACACCTTGAGGTGGCGTGGTTCAATAGCGGCTGTGTGTGTGGCGCTTTCACCAGCTGCTGGATGACTTGAGGGCCGCCCTGCTCGCACTCAGGCACACTCTCCTCTTGTGATTGTTTGTGTGCCTATGTCTGCCTCTGTGTGCCTGTGCCTGTCCCGTTCCCTAATTCCTTTCTGTCCATCCTGCCGCCATAAGCTACTGCACCTCCAGTTTGCACGTCTCTCACACGCCCAACACTTTTCCACCTCTTCTCCCCGCACCTTCTCCCATTACAGCCACCCCCTGGACACAGCAGAGCAGCACGAGGCAGCAGCAGCGCCATCTGCCGTTGCAACCCGCCACTCACCTCCCACTTCCACCGCTCCCACATCCGCAACATTCTCCCGTTCCCCCAATCCCCCTCCTTCCCCCCCCCCCACCCCCCCCCCCCCCCCCCTCCCCGGCACCCACTACAGCCAGCCCCTGTACACAGCAGAGCTCCAGGAGGCAGGCGCAGCATGCATCCATGCCGTTGCAACCAGGCACCCACCTCCCACTTCCACCTCTCCCCACATGCCCAACACGTCGCTCCCCCCTGTCCTCTCTCCCACTACAGCCAGCCCCTGGACACGGCAGAGCTACACGAGGCAGCAGCAGCAGCAGCAGCCCACTCGTCCCGCGCCTCCTCCTCCGCCCACCAGGTCCCCGCGCACGCGCCCCCCTCCTCCTCCCCCTCCACCTCCGCCTCCCCCACCCCCGCCATCACCGCCATCTCCTCTAAGTCTGGCCCGCTTCCCATCTCCGGTGCTAAGCCTAAGGGGCATGCGCACAAGGGGGGTGGGGGGTCTGCGCGGGAAGGTGGGGGTGATGGGAGTAGGCACTCCGCCCCCTTCCCCTCGCCCGCTGATAGTCACGGTTCTGCTGGTGCTGGTACTGGTACTGCTGGTGCTGGTGGTGGTGCTGGTGGTGGTGCTGGTGGTGAGGGGACAGGGTCGTTGGCTGGTGATACTGGTTCTGCAACAGGAACCGGGACAGGGAGCCATATTCGGAGGAGTGGGAGTGGGAGTGGGAGCAGGGGGGGGAGTGGGAAGGAGAAAGGGAGGGAGAGGGAGGGGAGGCTGATGAGGAGGCCCACTAAATGGGTGGGGGCGGACAAAGCAGCGGTGGGGCTGCGGCAGGTGGTGCAGGTGCTGGCGAGAGCGGGCCACTTCGACCGCTGCTTTGACATTTACCGGTGGGTGGGGTTGCTGTTGTGCTGGAGATGCGGGTGTGTGTTACAGTACTGGTGGGTGGGGGTGCTGGTGGGTGGGAATTGCTGTGTGCGGGGCTGCTGGTGGGTGGGGGTGCTGTGCTGGTGTGGGGGTTTCCCAGTGTGTGTGACGGGCGTTGTAGGTGGGAGTGGCTTGTTGCAGTTGATGGAGTTTTCTTCCCATGCATGCGTGCTTGTCATGGGAAGGAACGAAGCATGTGGCTGTGCAGTTGAGTTGAGGCGTCCCATCGTGTGTGTGCTAGGTAAGTGTGTGGTGGTGAATTGGTGGTTTGTTGAGCAATGGAGAGTGCGTACAAAGAGAAGCTATGTGGCACAGAGTGTCATGTGGATCAAGTACTGCTTGTAACAGTCACCTCGCCCTCTCCCCTCCCCCTTCTCCCCCAGTCACCCCGCTCTTTGTCTCCCCCTTCTCCCCCAGTCACCCCGCTCTTTGTCTCCCCCTTCTCCCCCAGTCACCCCGCTCTTGCTCTCCCCCTTCTCCCCCAGTCCCCCCGCTCTTTCTCTCTCCTTTCTCCTCCCCTCCACCGTTTCTCGCTTCCCTCCCAAGCACCTCAGGTTTCCGCCCCTCTCCCATTCCCCTCTCCACCTCCCTCCCTTCTTCCCCATGGTATCAGGTCGGTGCGAGAGGACTGTGTGCGCGAGACGATAAAGGCATTAGAGGTGGAGCCTATAAGGGGTACGGCGCACGTGAACCAGCTGCCGTGGCAGCAGCTGCAGCACACCATGACGGACTGGCTGCGCGACTGCCGCCTCCTGGTGAGGGGTGATGTTGGTGGGGGCTGTGGTGGTGAGGGGTGATGTTGGTGAGGGGTGCTGTTGGTGGGGGCTGTGATGGTGAGGGGTGCTGCTGGTGAGGGGTGCTGCTGGTGAGGGGTGCTGTGAGGCGTTGTAATGGTCCATGCTAAGATGCTTACTCCATCTTCACCATGCTCCTCTCTCATACTCACAACACCACCACCGTCCCTCCCTCCCTTCACTCCCTCCCTGCCTGCGCTGATTGCCTTTGCCGCTCACTCTCCTCTGCCCAACGCCTCTCCACACTGTTTCTCCCTCTCCTCACTTGCTCTCCCCTTCTCTGCTCCTCCTCAGCTGCGCACGATAATGGAGGAGGAATTCTCCCTTGCCACTTCCATCTTCGGCATACTCCACTCCACCGCACAGAACCGCACTGCCAGCCGCCGGGAACCCTCCCAACTTCTTCAAACCCCTTCCTCCTCCTCCACCACAGCCACCAACACAACCTTTTCAAACTCTCGCCTCCCCAGCCACCGATCCTCCAGCATCCGAACCACAGCCAGCAAGTCTGGGAGGTCCGGGAGCACCCGGACTTTGAGGCTCGGTGACGAGGCTGCGGCAGACTCAGGGAGGGCGATCTCCCTGAAGATATTGCGGCAGGCGGGGATGCCTCGCACGCTGTCGACGCTCATGCACAACGCCAACACACTCACGGCTGCACAGGCCACGCCTGAGCGGCTGTTCCTGCTGCTCGACATGGCTGCTGCTGTGGACGAACTCATGCCGCAGGTGGGGAGCGGATGTGTGGGGGGTGTGAGGGAGAGGTTGGGGGTGTAAGGGAGTGGTGTGTTGGGCGGATAGCAAGGGGCTGCTGGCGGAGTGGCGGGGGGCCGTGAGATGTCTAATCCCCTTAAACCACCCCGTCCCCCCCCTCACTCCCCACTCACCACCCCCTCTTGCTCCCCCCCTTTCCCCCTCCTGGCAGGTGGAGCGGCTGGTGTGCTGGTCGGACAGCGAGGGGCTGCTGGCGGAGTGGCGGGGGCTGACACGTGGCGTGGCCAAGGCCGTCCTGGGCACGTTTGATGCGCTCACCGCCACGCTGCAGGTGCCCGTGGAGCAGCCACGGCGCAACAAGTGGTGAGTTGACTGGGAGGGGGAAGGGGAAGGGGAGAGAAAGGAAGGGAAGGGGGGGTTGAGAGAGCAGGCGGTGCTGGGTACGTTCGATGCGCTCACTGCCACGCTGCAGGTGCCCGTGGAGCAGCCGCGCAGAATCAAGTGGTACGTACGATGGGAGGGAGGGAAGGAGGAGTTCTTAATAGAAAAGGGGGGACTGGGGGAGCGGACGGGTATGACAGCAACTGGTGAGCTGCCATGCAACAACAAGTGGCGTGGCGGTGGGCGTGAGGAGTTCACACAATAGGGGGATGGTGGTTGAGTGCAAGTGGTGAGAGCAGCAGGGAAGAATAAGTGGGGAGGGTGGAGTGGGGTGGGGTTGACCTCTGTGTGTGTGTGCCTTGAGCGTTGCACTGCATCTGCATCAATATGCTGTGTGTATTGTGCCATGTGCGCTGCATCTTATGCCTTGTACCTTATGCAATGCACCGTGTCTCTTGTGCTGTGCTGTGCTGTGCTGTGCGGTGCTGTGCGGTGCTGTGCGTGGCATGCAGGCGGTTGTTCCGAGGGGAGGGCAGCAGCAGTGGCAAGGAGGGCGGGGGAGGGGGCGGGTACCCACCGGGATGGGGTGTGGAGAAGAGTGGAAGCGTGCATGCCGTCACCAGCTATGTGATCAACTACATTGCCACCTACCTGGGCAGGTGCGTGCTGCTCGCACCTAGCCTAGTCCCGCACATGTGTGCCTCATGTCCCGCGCATGTGCCTCATGTCCCCTGCATGTGCCTCATGTCCCCTGCATGTGCCTCATGTCCCCTGCATGTGCCTCATGTCCCCTGCATGCATGTGCTTTGCCACACAGCAGTGGGGGCGTGCACGATGCTGGAGAAGCTGTTGAAATCACTCACCACACCACGGCAGAGGGCATCAAATCAAGCATATCAATCCTTCCCTGGCTGCACTGCACCCCATGCCCCTCACAGGAGTGCCACGTCATCACGGGCGTATGGGTACGGCACGATGCTGGAGAAGCTGCTGGAGACGCATGGGCAGGGGCGCAGCATGGAGGAGGAAACGATGAAGGTGAGAGGGAGGGGGGAGGTGGGGAGAGGAAGGGGGAGAGGGGAGACAAAGAGGTAATAGAGGTGAGGGCATGGAGGAGGAAACGATGAAGGTGAGGGGCAGGGGGGGAGTGAGGGAAAATGGCACACTTATACACTGAGGTGAGGATGTAGGGAGGACACAAGGTAGCAGGGTTTCAGGTACGACTGAGGATGTAGGGAGGACACAAGGTAGCAGGGTTTCAGGTACGACTGAGGATGTAGGGAGGACACAAGGTAGCAGGGTTTCAGGTACGACTGAGGATGTAGGGAGGACACAAGGTAGCAGGGTTTCAGGTACGACTGAGGATGTAGGGAGGACACAAGGTAGCAGGGTTTCAGGTACGACTGAGGATGTAGGGAGGACACAAGGTAGCAGGGTTTCAGGTACGACTGAGGATGTAGGGAGGACACAAGGTAGCAGGGTTTCAGGTACGACTGAGGATGTAGGGAGGACACAAGGTAGCAGGGTTTCAGGTACGACTGAGGATGTAGGGAGGACACAAGGTAGCAGGGTTTCAGGTACGACTGAGGATGTAGGGAGGACACAAGGTAGCAGGGTTTCAGGTACGACTGAGGATGTAGGGAGGACACAAGGTAGCAGGGTTTCAGGTACGACTGAGGATGTAGGGAGGACACAAGGTAGCAGGGTTTCAGGTACGACTGAGGATGTAGGGAGGACACAAGGTAGCAGGGTTTCAGGTACGACTGAGGATGTAGGGAGGACACAAGGTAGCAGGGTTTCAGGTACGACTGAGGATGTAGGGAGGACACAAGGTAGCAGGGTTTCAGGTACGACTGAGGATGTAGGGAGGACACAAGGTAGCAGGGTTTCAGGTACGACTGAGGATGTAGGGAGGACACAAGGTAGCAGGGTTTCAGGTACGACTGAGGATGTAGGGAGGACACAAGGTAGCAGGGTTTCAGGTACGACTGAGGATGTAGGGAGGACACAAGGTAGCAGGGTTTCAGGTACGACTGAGGATGTAGGGAGGACACAAGGTAGCAGGGTTTCAGGTACGACTGAGGATGTAGGGAGGACACAAGGTAGCAGGGTTTCAGGTACGACTGAGGATGTAGGGAGGACACAAGGTAGCAGGGTTTCAGGTACGACTGAGGATGTAGGGAGGACACAAGGTAGCAGGGTTTCAGGTACGACTGAGGATGTAGGGAGGACACAAGGTAGCAGGGTTTCAGGTACGACTGAGGATGTAGGGAGGACACAAGGTAGCAGGGTTTCAGGTACGACTGAGGATGTAGGGAGGACACAAGGTAGCAGGGTTTCAGGTACGACTGAGGATGTAGGGAGGACACAAGGTAGCAGGGTTTCAGGTACGACTGAGGATGTAGGGAGGACACAAGGTAGCAGGGTTTCAGGTACGACTGAGGATGTAGGGAGGACACAAGGTAGCAGGGTTTCAGGTACGACTGAGGATGTAGGGAGGACACAAGGTAGCAGGGTTTCAGGTACGACTGAGGATGTAGGGAGGACACAAGGTAGCAGGGTTTCAGGTACGACTGAGGATGTAGGGAGGACACAAGGTAGCAGGGTTTCAGGTACGACTGAGGATGTAGGGAGGACACAAGGTAGCAGGGTTTCAGGTACGACTGAGGATGTAGGGAGGACACAAGGTAGCAGGGTTTCAGGTACGACTGAGGATGTAGGGAGGACACAAGGTAGCAGGGTTTCAGGTACGACTGAGGATGTAGGGAGGACACAAGGTAGCAGGGTTTCAGGTACGACTGAGGATGTAGGGAGGACACAAAAAATGTGTTCCCATTGTATGAGCAATGTACAACCCCCTTCCCTCAAACCCCTCCAGCCCTCTGTCCACCTCCATCCTCTTGATCCCCCTCCATCCTCTTGCACCCCCCACTGCTCTCGAACCCCTTCCACCGCTCTCAACCCCACCTTCCCCCGTGCAGGTGGTGGATGCGTTGGTGCGGAACATGGAGGCCAGGGCCGGCACGTGCAACAACCCGCTGCTCAGGTCCCTCTTCCTTGTTAACAACATCCTCTACATCAACCGGTACGCTTTGTTGTATGCTCTAAACTGTATAATGGCTGCGGTGCTTTGCACTATTTGTCATCTTCTGCGTTGGCTATGCAGGCTTTCTTCGTACCTTCCCTCTCTGAACGTAGTCCTATCGTATTCGCTTTCCTTGATCTTCTTCCCAGCTCGCCCCCTCACCCGTCCTCAACCCTCCACGCCCACCTTCTTTCTTCTTTCTCGGGCAGGTTGAGTGAAAAGATTCACCTGCCCCTGGCGAATCAGAAGCTGCTTGAGGCCCAATCAAAGGCCTTCAGGGAGGCTGGGCTGCAGAAGGTAAGCAGATGCTGGTGTGCCAAGTGTGCCAAGTGTTACTGTGTGCCATTTATATGTGTGCCAAGTGTTACTGTGTGCCATTTGTAAGTGTGCCACGTGTTACTGTGTGCCATTTATAAGTGTGCCACGTGTTACTGTGTGCCATTTATAAGTGTGCCAAGTGTTACTGTGTGCCATTTGTAAGTGTGCCAAGTGTTACTGTGTGCCATTTGTAAGTGTGCCAAGTGTTACTGTGTGCCATTTGTAAGTGTGCCAAGTGTTACTGTGTGCCATTTGTGAGTGTGCCAAGTGTTACTGTGTGCCATTTGTAAGTGTGCCACGTGTTACTGTGTGCCATTTATAAGTGTGCCACGTGTTACTGTGTGCCATTTATAAGTGTGCCAAGTGTTACTGTGTGCCATTTGTAAGTGTGCCAAGTGTTACTGTGTGCCATTTGTAAGTGTGCCAAGTGTTACTGTGTGCCATTTGTAAGTGTGCCACGTGTTCCTGTGTGCCATTTTTAAGTGTGCCAAGTGTTACTGTGTGCCATTTGTAAGTGTGCCAAGTGTTACTGTGTGCCATTTGTAAGTGTGCCAAGTGTTACTGTGTGCCATTTGTAAGTGTGCCAAGTGTTACTGTGTGCCATTTGTGAGTGTGCCAAGTGTTACTGTGTGCCATTTGTAAGTGTGCCACGTGTTACTGTGTGCCATTTATAAGTGTGCCACGTGTTACTGTGTGCCATTTATAAGTGTGCCAAGTGTTACTGTGTGCCATTTGTAAGTGTGCCAAGTGTTACTGTGTGCCATTTGTAAGTGTGCCAAGTGTTACTGTGTGCCATTTGTAAGTGTGCCAAGTGTTACTGTGTGCCATTTGTAAGTGTGCCAAGTGTTACTGTGTGCCATTTGTAAGTGTGCCACGTGTTACTGTGTGCCATTTATTGTCAGATTGCCATCCTCATTGTAACCTACATCAATCCTATAAGCCTAGGTTAGAGATAGCCATCCAGACTTAGTTTGGGTGTAGAACTAGGGCTAACCCTAGTTGGGGGTTGGAACTCAAACCTTGGCCCCCAAGGTTGGGTTGGGAATTATTGGTCCCCCCAATAATGTTGAACCACTTGGTCAACATTATTGGTCCCCCCAATAATCCCTCAACCCAACTTATTGGTGGGGGCCAATAATGTTGGCTTGGCCCCCTTTAGCACTACTATGTATACCCCCATCTATCCTAATCAACTTAATGGTTCTTCCTCACGTTTTCTCACATGGTAAGCAGAGCAAACACGGCTCACACCTTCTTCGATCCTAAGAACCACACCTCCGCGTGCCTTAACACGCCCCCCCTCCCTCACGCGACAACTAGGTCGCTCTTAGCGCCAAGTGCGCTCCTACGCCGTCACGGCCCCCCTCCCCCGCTTAATTTTCAGCACCCTTCCCACCCCTTCCTAAGGTCAATTCCGCCACTTACGGCCCTCCCCTCTCTCTCGCGAGCACGCTAACCGTCGGAACGACTACCGCGATCGACGAAACCCTAATCGGGGGCGACCGCCGCGAACGCGACGAACGCGGGCGCTAGCCTCGGATTAGGGTTGCACGGGCGACCGTCGCGAACAAGACGAACACGGGCGACCGCCGCGGACGCGACGAACGCGGGCGACCGCCGCGGACGCGACGAACGCGGGCGACCGCCGCGGACGCGACGAACGCGGGCGACCGCCGCGGACTCGACGAACGCGGGCGACCGCCACGAACGCGACGAACGCGGGCGACCGCCGCGGACGCGACGAACGCGGGCGACCGCCGCGGACGCGACGAACGCGGGCGACCGCCGCGGACGCGACCAGCGGAGGCGACCGCCGCGGACGCGACCAGCGGAGGCGACCGCCGCGGACGCGACCAACGGAGGCGATCGCCGCGGACGCGACCATCGGAGGCGACCGCCGCGGACGCGACCAGCGGAGGCGACCCCCGCGGACGCGACCAGCGGAGGCGACCGCCGCGGACGCGACCAGCGGAGGCGATCCCCGCGGACGCGACCAGCGGAGGCGACCGCCGCGGACGCGACCAGCGGAGGCGGCCGCCGCGGACGCGACCAGCGGAGGCGGCCGCCGCGGACGCGACCAGCGGAGGCGACCAGCGGAGGCGACCGCCGCGGACGCGACAAGCGGAGGCGACCGCCGCGGGGCGACCGCCGCGGGCGACGTGACCAAGCGCAACCACGGGCAACGCGACCTGACACAACCGTGGGCGACGCGATCAGGCGCAACCGTGATCGACGCGACTAGGCGCAGCCCTTCGACCGCACCACCCCTCCCGGGGGTGTCGTCACCCCGATTGACCGCACCCGCCCTCCAGCCGGTGTCGTCACCCCCTCCCCCCTCCTCCCCCTCATGGCAGACGACTCTACCCCCATTGAGCTCGGAGCTATCGACAAGCTCGAGCTTCTTCATGATACCACCGCTGTAAACTGGGCGTCGTTCGAGGATACACTCCACACCCACCTTGGCTCTGTCATCATCCAAGACTACTGTCTCCTTGACGTAGTTCTTGAAACTTCTAACGGCCTTCCACCCGTTCTCCCTCCTCCTCTTGATCCCCCTCCCCCCGATGCCCCTCCACTTCCAGAACCTATTGACCCCCCCCCCCAATCCTCCAGTTCATGATGATCACCCGGATCGCTGGGCGGCCAACTTGAACAACTACAACAAGCTACGTGACACCTACACCATCCAGCGTGAAGCATACCGTGTTGCTGAGGAAGCACATGCTGTCGCCGCTGCACGCATCTTCCAGTACGAAAAAGATGAGAGGGATCATGCTGAGGAGCTACGCAAACTTCACAAGGATGTCGCAGCCTGGCGTGTTGCGGATCGCCGCGCACTCGCCATCATCTTCTCCTGCATCCCCTCACACCTCAAACGCGACCTCCGTCCCACCTCCTCCTCTGGCCTCTGGAAAACCCTCTCTACTCAGTACGATCGACAGGATCTTCGCTCCCTCCTTGCGCTCTTTCGCAAGTTCCAAGACACCACCCTTGACTCCTCTCCCACTGCTGCTGTCTACACCCGCCGCCTCATTGATACTGCACAACGCCTCAACGATCGAGGCATTGTCATCTCTGAGTCTCTCCTCACTGCACGCATTCTCGACTGCCTCCCCCCCACATATGACACATACCGCATCACCTTCACCTCCCGCTACCGCCACCCTCCTCCTGTGACTGACACCATCGAGTGGCTTCTTGACAGCGAAGCCGACCTTCAACGTGACTCCACCGCTATCAATGCAGTACAGACTCGCAAAGCCCCCTCAAACAACCAGAACAGCGGCGGAGGCGGCGCCCACGGCGGTACTGGCAGTGGTGGAGGTGGACGTGGTGGTGGGCGAGGAGGAGGACGTGGTGGTGGCCGTGGTGGTGGCCGTGGTGGGCGTGGCGGACACCCCTCACCTTCGGGCACCCTCCCCCCGTGTCAGTACATCATTCGCTATGGCTCCAACAAAGGTCAGCCATGCTCACAGACCACTCATACCAGTGACACGTGCTTCAAAGCCCTCACCGACGAATGGTTTGCTCGTGGCAATGTTGGCACCCCACCTCGCTGGAACACTATTTTCCCACGCCCCTCTCCCCATGACATCCGCACTCTCCCCGCCTATCAACCCTCCACCCCCAACCTCCACAATGTCCTCACTCAACATCTCCCATCTCACATCCTCCAGCAAGTCCAGCATCTTCTCCCCTCATCCACCCCCACTCCCACTCCTCCTCCACCCACACCTCTGCCTCAACCCCCCCCCCCTCACTACCCTCCACCCTATGCTGGCTGGCCTTACCCTCCTTACCCACCTCCTGGATATGGTCATGGACCTATTGGACCTGCTGCTAATCTTGCTGACCAGCCCTCCTCCTCCTCCAACCCTCCTGGCTTTACTCCGCTCCCCTCTGCTGGATTCATAGGACATGTTAGCACTGCTCCTGCTGATTCTCTGTATGCCCATGCTATTAATGAGTCTCTCTTCCAGTACTCCGCCTTTTCCTCCTCCTCTTCATGCCTTGAGTTTATCCTTGACAGTGGAGCGACACACACTGTTCTGCGCGATGCAGGCACACTGGTACCCCTCCCCACCCCCTCCACTATCCACGGAGCTGACTCCAGCTTCACCATCACAAGTCGACACACCTCCACCCTCCCCTGTCCCATCTTCCCCTCAGGTACAGTCACAGGTCTATACATCCCCTCCCTACGCAACAATCTGGTAGCACTGTGTGACCTCACCAGGTTCGGTATCACCGCCCTCTTCCCCGGTCATGCACGCCACTGCGACCTCTTTCACACCACCACTGGTCGCTTCAACTGTCGCATTCCCCTCTGCCCTCGCACACACCTGTACACGTACCGCACCCCTCGCACCTCCATTCACCACCTCATCGCCCCCACCTCACCCCTTCCCCTCCCCTCACCTCCCCTCCCCCTTCCCTCCCCTCCTCCCATCCCCTCCCCCATCCCCTCCCCCCCCCTCCCCTCCCCTCCTCCCCCCCCCCCCCCCCCTCCCCCACCTCCTCCTGTCACTGTCGTGACCTCACCCACCCCGCAGTTCTCCTTCACCATAGGTTGGGTCATCCCAACTTTGCCACCCTCCGTCAAACTGTCTCCACCCAACTCCTCGACGGACTCCCCCTCACCCTTCCCTCTCTCCCCCCATCGCCCTCCCCTCCTTGCTCAGTATGCGTTGAAAGCAAACTGAAACAGGCCCCCCACAAGAGTCATCCCTCCTTTTCTCCCAAGCCTCTTGATCTCGTCCACATGGACCTCTGGGGCCCCAACCCTTCCCCCACCAGGCAAGGTCATAAATACCTGCTTATCCTGGTGGATGACCACAGCCGCTACTCCTCCGTCTCCCTCCTTCGCACGAAGGCGGAGGCCCCGGCTGCTATTATTGCTTGGGCTGAACAAGCACGCACCCATTTCAAACGCCCTGTCTCCCGCTTCCACTCTGATGGCGGTGGTGAGTTCCTTAACAACATGCTCTCATCCTACTGCACCACTCGTGGCATTATTCACACCTACACCCTACCTCATTCCCCTCAACAGAATGGCGTGGCGGAAAGTAGGGTCCGTGAGGTCACCAAGACTGCTCGGTGCCTCATGGTCCATGCCTCCTGCCCGCCCTCTCTCTTGGGCTATGCCATCCTCCACGCTGCCATCCTCACTAACTTGTACCCTCATCCCTCCCGGCCCACCACCACTCCCACCGCACTCTGGACATCCAAAAAGCCCGACATCACCCCCCTGCGCGTGTGGGGTTCCATGGCGTATGTTCTCATACACCCTGTCGACCGCTCACGCAAAGCTGGGAAGCTCGCCTCCCGCACTCTCCCCTGCATTTTCCTTGGTCACAACACCTCCTCCCCGGACTATCTCTTCCTCCATCCCCCCTCAGGTCGCCTCATTCGTAGTCGGGATGTGGAATTCGATGAAGCCCACCCGTACTACACCTCCCCCAAAGCCCCTAACCCCCTCCCTCTAACCACCCGTCCCTTCCTCTGGACTGACACCATTCCCCCCCCACCCCCTCTCCCCTCCCCTTCCCTTCTCCCCCCCCCCACCATTGTCCCCCCTGCACCCCCACCCCCTCCCCCCTCTCCCCCCGCCTCATCAGGAGACATCCTTGACCCCGTCCACCCTCCCTCCCCACCCGCTGCCCCTCCTTCTCCCTCCCCACCCGCTGCCCCTCCTTCTCCCTCCCCACCCGCTGCCCCTCCCCCTCCCTCCCCACCCGCTGCCTCCCCCCCCCCCTCCTTCCCCTCCTTCCCTCCATGCACAACATCCCCCACCTCCCCCCTCCCCACGCCCTCCCCCACTCACTCCACCTCCATCCTCCCGGCCCCTACTTCCCACTCCCCCTCTCATACTCCGCCACTACCCTCACACCCGCTCCACGGTCCCCATTCTTGGTACCCCCAGGTCCACCCCCCCCTCCCTCCAGTCTCTCACATCCATCCCCCTTCTCCGCCACCATAGCACCTCCCCTCCCCCCCGCACCAGCACCTCAGGTTCTCTCAGCAGTCGCGCTCCCGTCTCCCTGCCCCTTACGGCGACTCAGCGAAGCCGAGCTGCAATGCAGCTGTCTCCCCGCCCCGACCCTCAGCGCAGCAGAGCACCAGTGTAGCTGTGTCCCCGCATCGGCCCGACCCTCCAGCGCAGCTGTCTTGCAACTCCACCGCCTCCTCGTCCTCCTCCTCTCACTCCGGACCTCTCTGAAGACTCTCACGACGAGCTTATGTTCCTCCACCTCCTCTCACCCACCATCGCCCCCGTCGTCCGCACAATGGCTGGCACTACTGTCCTTCTCTTCTCCACCACCCCCACCATCTACGAACCCACCACCTATGAGCAAGCACTTGCCTGTCTTGATGCACCTCTCTGGATCGAGGCCATGGTCAAGGAGAGCAACGCCTTCATCAGCAACCGCTCGTTTCTCGACGTTCCTCGTCCCTCTAAGCACAACGTGGTCAAAGGCAGGTGGCTTTTTCGAGTAAAACTACTCCCTGGCGACGCTCCGGTCTACAAGGCTCGATATGTGGCAAAAGGCTTCACACAGACCTATGGCTCAGACTTCTTCGAGACCTACTCACCCACCGCCACTCCACCGGTCATTCGCGTGTTTTTGGACTTTGTTGGCAGACGTGGAATGATCCTTCACTCCATGGACGTCACCACCGCCTTTCTACAAGGCGACCTTCATGAGCTAATTTTTCTGGAACGTCCCAAAGGCTTCCACGCTCCTCACGACCCTACCACTGTTTGGAAGCTGCTACGCCCGGTCTACGGGCTCAAACAAGCACCTCGGGAATGGCACGCCAAACTCTCCTCCACCCTTCGAGCACTTGGCTTTCGCCCCTCCCGTGCCGCCTCCTGCCTCTTCCTGCGCCTCACCCCATCACCCTTCTTCATCCTCGTCTACGTCGACGACATGCTGCTGGCCGCTGACACAGCTGCTGAACTCCAGGAGGTCAAGGATGAGCTGCAGAAACGCCTTGCCTGCAAAGACCTGGGGGAGGTTCGCAACTACCTCGGCATGGAGATCACTCGCAACCTCACTGCCAAGACCATCACCCTCTCTCAGTCTTTTTACATCGAGAAGATTCTTGAGAGGTTTGGCATGCAGACCTGCAAACCCATCCCCACACCACTTGCATTCGGGCATCGGCTCTCCCCTCCCACCACTCCCGTCACCTCCCCTCACCCCTATGCAGAACTTGTTGGGGCCCTGATGTACGCCATGGTCTGCACTCGTCCCGACCTTGCATACCCAGTCATGGTGAAGAGCATTGGAAGGCGGCCATGCGTGTTCTTCGCTACCTTAAGGGCACGAAGGACCATGTCCTCACTTTGGGTGGTGTGAACCCGCCCATTCTTCAAGGCTTCAGCGACTCATCTTGGGCCGACGCACAGCCCGACCGTCGCAGCTCTCAAGGATATGGCTTCACACTCGGGGGCGGCCTCATCAGTTGGCGCTCCACCCGCTCCTCCTCCGTTGCCCTCTCATCCTGCGAAGCCGAACTGTACGCGGTCACGATGGCGGCTCAAGAAGCACGTTGGCTCAGCTATCTGCTCACCGACCTTGGCTCTCCACAGCCCCGCCCCACATTGTGGTGTGACAACGACAGTACCATCCACCTCACCAAGGAAGCAGTTTTTCATGGTCGCTCTAAACACATCGAGCTTCGCTACTACTTTGTTCGCGACCTTGTCCAAGATGGTCACATCACCGTTCGCAAAATCGCCTCCTCCGACAACCTCGCCGATCTCTTCACCAAGGCTCTCCACCGCTCTGACCACTCTGCGCTTCTGCGTCTCCAGGGACTTGCTCCCCGCGGTGGCTGATTCAGGGGTTGTTGCTCTCTCTCTTCCCAAGCTTATGGATTTCTGTAGGTTAAGGGGTTGTGTCAGATTGCCATCCTCATTGTAACCTACATCAATCCTATAAGCCTAGGTTAGAGATAGCCACCCAAACTTAGTTTGGGTGTAGAACTAGGGCTAACCCTAGTTGGGGGTTGGAACTCAAACCTTGGCCCCCAAGGTTGGGTTGGGAATTATTGGTCCCCCCAATAATGTTGAACCACTTGGTCAACATTATTGGTCCCCCCAATAATCCCTCAACCCAACTTATTGGTGGGGGCCAATAATGTTGGCTTGGTTCCAACAACCCCCCCCCCTTTTAGCACTACTATGTATACCCCCATCTATCCTAATCAACTTAATGGTTCTTCCTCACGTTTTCTCACATTTATAAGTGTGCCACGTGTTACTGTGTGCCATTTATAAGTGTGCCAAGTGTTACTGTGTGCCATTTATATGTGTGCCACGTGTTACTGTGTGCCATTTATAAGTGTGCCACGTGTTACTGTGTGCCATTTGTAAGTGTGCCACGTGTTACTGTGTGCCATTTATAAGTGTGCCACGTGTTACTGTGTGCCATTTATAAGTGTGCCACGTGTTACTGTGTGCCATTTATAAGTGTGCCACGTGTTACTGTGTGCCATTTATAAGTGTGCCACGTGTTACTGTGTGCCATTTATAAGTGTGCCAAGTGTTACTGTGTGCCATTTGTAAGTGTGCCACGTGTTACTGTGTGCCATTTGTAAGTGTGCCAAGTGTTACTGTGTGCCATTTATAAGTGTGCCAAGTGTTACTGTGTGCCATTTGTAAGTGTGCCAAGTGTTACTGTGTGCCATTTGTAAGTGTGCCACGTGTTACTGTGTGCCATTTATAAGTGTGCCAAGTGTTGCTGTGTGCCATTTATAAGTGTGCCACGTGTTACTGTGTGCCATTTATAAGTGTGCCACGTGTTACTGTCTGCCATTTATAAGTGTGCCACGTGTTTCTGTCTGCCATTTATAAGTGTAACATGTGTTACTCTTCCACGTAATACTGTGTGCCACGTGTTACAGCACGCCACATGTTACAGCTTTCCGAGCTTAACAGTCCATGTTACAGTGCACTCATTCTCACCGTACAGTACAGTACACATCACTACCGCACACAACATGTTACATAGTGCCCGTTTCCCCAGCCTCTCGTCCATCCCCCCACCTCTCAGCCACCCACCATGCCTCTCGACCTCACCTGAGTCACCTCTCTCATGTGTCTGTCTGCTGCCGCTGGTCACAGGTGACGGCATCGTTGGGCGGGCGAGTGAGGAGTGCCACCATGGAGCCCAGTGAAGTCAACAGGCGGTGAGTCTGAGATTAGTGAGTTTTGCTGCTGCCAGTTAGTTCTCAGTTCCAAGTGTTGCTGCAGGTGGCGGCGTTGTTGGGCCGAAAAGGGAGCAGCACCACCATGCAGCCTAGTGAAGTCAACCAGCGGTGAGATTGAGTCAATGCAATCAGCAGGCAGTGAGATTGAGTCAATGCAGTCAGCAGGCAGTGAGATTGAGTCAATGCAGTCAGCAGGCAGTGAGATTGAGTCAATGCAGTCAGCAGGCAGTGAGATTGAGTCAATGCAGTCAGCAGGCAGTGAGATTGAGTCAATGCAGTCAGCAGGCAGTGAGATTGAGTCAATGCAGTCAGCAGGCAGTGAGATGTCAATGCAGTCAGCAGGCAGTGAGATTGAGTCAATGCAGTCAGCAGGCAGTGAGATGTCAATGCAGTCAGCAGGCAGTGAGATTGAGTCAATGCAGTCAGCAGGCAGTGAGATTGATGTATGGTGCGAGACCCGCTCCTCATCCCTTCTCCTCCCCGGAATCCCTGTCTCACCTTTCCCCTCCTGCAGCTTGCACCGTTTCAACATTGCATTTGAGGACCTGGCGTTGGAGCAGAAGGACTGGGTGATATGCGATGGTGCTTGGCGCAAGACCACGGTGCACGAGTGGGCGGCACACCTCAAGCACATCTACGAGGAGTTTCTTGAGCCCCACAGGTGTGTATGTGTGTGTGTGTGTGTGTGTGTGTGTGTGTGTGTGTGTGTGTTGCTGCAGCAGCGCCGGTGGGGTGCTGGTAAGGGTTTTGAGTTGACTCTGCAGTGCACAAGTGGGCGGCACACCTCAAGCACCTCTAGCCCCACGGGTGGGGTTGTACGGTGTAGCCGCACAGGTGCCCCTTGTAGATGTGCAGTAAGGTGCACAAGTGGGCGGCACACCTGAATAGCATCTACGAGGAGTTGCTTCAGCTTCACAGGTGGGGTGGTACAGCCGCACAGGTGGGGTGGTACAGCCGCACAGGTGGGACTATCACATCCTGCCTCCTCCTGTACACCGCCTTCTCCTCCGGTGCCCCCCCTGTGTAGTGACTGCCTGAGCACGCTCTCCTCGTACCACTGGGAGGCACACGCCATTCGGGATAGACTAGAACACCCTCCCTGACCTGACCCCACACTCTCCTCACTTGTTCGTTCCCTGCAGTGAGTGCCTGAGCACGCTCTCCTTGTACCACTGGGAGGCCGACGCCGTTATAAAGAGAGAGGGAGAGACTAAAGCGCCCTCCCTTACCCCACACTCTCCTAACTCCCCCCCGGTGCAGTGAATGCCTGAGCACGCTGTCCTCGTATCACTGGGAGGCACACGCCATTAGAGAAAGAAGAGAGGCGAAAGCACCCTCCCTGACCTGACCCCACACTCTCCCCACGTGTTCGTTCCCGGTGCAGTGAGTGCCTGCACACGCTCTCCTCCTACCACTGGGAGGCAGACGCCATGGAGCGCCTCGTTCTCAAGTCCTTCTTCGCAACCTCCAGATGACACTTTCTTTCGGGCAGAAGAAAAACTCTTTGTCGGCCAGCATTAACGTCTTTGGGCAGTGATAGCGTCTTGCCGGACAGCGTTAACACTGCCGGGCGGTAATTTCAAGTTTCTTTTTGCTGGCAGCAGCAAGCCGACCTTACTGGTACATACATGAAAATGGTTTCACTGTTTCAATGTAACGAGCCTTCTGGTGTGAGCGAAGTGGATGTTCCTTACTGGAAAGCTGGAACAGTGAGGGTGCATTGCTTCGAATTCTTCGTGTGTGGTCCTTGTGTTTTTGCGTGGGGAAAATGCTAGGCCGTGAGGTTTAATGTGGTTCAGTGTGGAAGGGTAATTCCTGCCTTGGCATGTCCTTGATTTACACGTCACAACACAATCCATTGTGACATGCAAAACCTGCATATGTTATGTGTCTGAAACGCGGACCATGAATGTGAGAGGTATTTACATTTCATTATTGGCTGCCGTGAAATCCGTCAAACACGACGATCAGGCACACTCGCCTGCGCGTCAAAATACTACATTGGAGTGAAATTGAACTAGGAAGGGATGGGATACAAATGTGCAACTCTAAAAGGGTTTTACTCTCTAGAGAGCAACTCATTTGCCACGAGTCTCGATCGACTGGACTCGTTCGGTTTGGAAGTTACTTTTTTGGAAAATAATGATTGCGGGCAGACCCTACTGTGCTCAACGCTTTTGTAACGGATTCGGCTCCAACAAGCCATAAATTAGCAAGTCCGCGCGAGGAATCGCCTGCTACATACGTCTCACAAAGACATGGGTGCGTCAGAGGCGGGAGCTGCTACACATACACGTACATGACCAGAAGCTGCCACATAGTAGGCCGATAAGAATCATATTCCAGCCAATATCAACACGTTCCTTGCCAGGATGATATCGTTAGAAGCACTGGCGGGATGCAGCACATCATGCAGCACAGCATGTCCCCCCGTCCGGGTGATCGTTTTTTCCCTCGCCGCTCCCAACTGCGCACACCCCGTCCGCGCTAGTACTACCAGCGCTAGCACCGCAGCATTTGTCACCGAAGAGCGGGAAGTTGACTCTGACTTCGTCACCGCGGCGAGTCCGACTCCGAGTCGTAGTAGTAGCTGTGGTCTCAACAACCCTAAACTCAGTGGGCCAAAAACATTTGATTCAGCAATGCTGGCAGTCATTGTTCAGAGTTTACTTCAAGTTCATTCCACTTCAGAGTCTGTCTCGCTTTCTACGCGGACTCCGCGTACGCGGATCCCGCGTATGCGGAAATCTCGCTTACGCTGAAATCCCCTGCTCTGCGCAGCTAGTTATGGCGCGGGCTACCGTGCCGCTCCTGGCCCTTCTGCTTGTCCACGCCTGTAAGTACTAAAGTGGCGATCGTTGCACAGCAGCCGTCGCTACCGCGGTCTGAATCTGTAGTTCACCTTAGCGCGGATTCTTTTCGGGCGAACATTGCCGTGGATTCTGATCATGATCATGGCGCACTTCATGTTCCACATCTAAGAATCGATATTGTTGCGGAAACGGCAAGGGAACATTGTGACATGATATTGTGACTCTTCACATACAATATATTTCGGGACTTTCTTGTCATGATGACCGTTCCTTTCCCCCTCTCAAAATTTACTGGTTACCTCCGATTCCTCTCCCTCGATTTTACTCCCTCCCTCGCATTTCGCGCGTCACCATTCTCCCCGATCACTCGTCTCTCCTGGATTTCCGCTCCTTCTCGCCGTTTCTCTGGCGCCCGTCTCCTCCGCAGCCTTGTACCACGCTGAGGTAAGCCGGTCCACCTACGAGTTATCGCTCATACCATAATATATTTAAACGCTACTACAAAAACTGCCACGCAGTACGTCACGTGCTGGTCACATCCGGGATCAGCAATCCTTGCCGAACCTGAGGAGGTTTCAACAGCCAATCACCGCGTGCATTGCCGCATTCCAAACATTCGGAGGATTGCGCTAGATAGACTCCCCAGCAGTGTTGCTGGGGACAAAGTCGTAACTATCCCTGCACATTGCTGAAGGATGGATTTTCGCGCCATTTTTTTGTGACGCTCTTGGCGATACTTATATTTTAGATTTGATCCCATCCCCTTGAACGTTGGCCGCCGTGTCGCTGCAGGGCAACAAGGCGGTGGTGGGCGCAAAGTGGAGGGTGATTCCGTGGCAGAAGGACGTCTTTGACTGGAAGAAACCCATCGTCCGCGCTGGAGATGTCCTCGGTAAGCGCAATGCTTGCTGCAAAAGCAACTGATTGGCGAGACGTGAATTGGCGTGGACTGTCATATGCCACCAGGCTCGGAATATCCGAGCACGAGCTGTCGGTGCCTAGTAGCTCCAAAATATCACTCGAATCTATCTTTGAGCTCTAATACTAGCTATCACTCGAATCTATCTTTGAGCTCTAATACTAGCTATCACTCTGAATCTATCTTTGAGCTCTAATACTAGCTATCACTTGAATCTATCTTTGAGCTCTAATACTAGCTATCACTCGAATCTATCTTTGACATCGTCACTATGATCTCCTTTATAATCAGAATATTCTTCTGCTAGTTATCGCCTCCAAACCAAGTTTTTGGATCTTGTCTTCCCCTAGCTCTCTTCCGTTGCGACACGACTCTCTACTTCTCTCACTTCCCTTCGATGCCGTCGCGACCGGCCTGGCCAGCCGCACCTAGCGTGGCAGCGCTGTAGTCCTGCTTTTATTTCTGGACCGAGCACTGTGACTCTCGGGCTCGGCTTGGATAATTTCCATGCGTGGTTCGTGTGGTTACCCCCCCTTCCGCCCATTTCCCCCCTTCTTCCTCACACGCTTTGCTCGTGCACCTCCTTGCGTGCACTCCGTCGCGTGCATCCCCTTGCGTGCTTCGGCTGCAGTGTATCGATGGCGGTTCGTGCCGCGTGACGTGTGGTTGATGCACTCAAGGAAAGCCTACGCCAACTGTGATTTCTCTGCCGGCAGCGACACCAGGAAGACTGTCATCTCCTTCATTGGGAAATACAAGTAGGTTTCGCTGCTCTCTTCATCTCTTCCCTGTTTCCTTCCCCCCCATGCATATTTTGAGCCAGGCTTAAATAAAATTCTGTGATTGGGAAATAGAAGTAGACTGTGCTGCTGCCTCTCGTCTTCCTTATGCCCCAGGCTTGGTGGACACACGAGTGGGCGAGGTTGGTGTGCCTTTGGCTTGGATGTGGTGAAGTTGATTCTGATTGACAGGAGTGCCAACTCGTATCTGCATGCACTCACCTGTGTGTTTACTTGTGCCTGTGTGTGCTCAATCTGTGCATATCATGCCTTGTCCGTATGCATGTGTATGCTTGTGCATGTATACGGCATGTTTTTATCTTCAGGTACAAAGTGCCAAGTTCAGCAGCAGGAACCACATTATACTTTGGTAGCAGTGTACAATGCCAGAGCACTACAGGAAAGGTGAAGGTGGCTATTATAATTAGTACCCCCCGGCCTTCCAGCCCGCCTCCCCCTCCCCCTAATCCTCCCCCTAACCCTCCCCCTAGCCCTCCCCCTAGCTCTCCACCTAACCCTCCCCCTAACCCTCCCCCTAACCCTCCCCCTAACCCTCCCCCTCCCCCTAACCCCCCCCCTAACCCACCCCCTAACCCTCCCCCTCCCCCTTACCCCCCCCCTAACCCACCCCCTAAACCTCCCCCTCCCCCTAACCCTCCCCCTGAACCTCCCCCTCCCCCTAACCCTCCCCCTAACCCCCCCCCTAACCCACCCCCTAACCCTCCCCCTCCCCCTAACCCTCCCCCTAACCCTCCGCCTAAACCTCCCCCTCCCCCTAACCCTCCCCCTGAACCTCCCCCTCCCCCTAACCCTCCCCCTAACCCTCCCCCTAAACCTCCCCCTAACCCTCCCCCTAACCCTCCCCCTAAACCTCCCCCTCCCCCTAACCCTCCCCCTAACCCTCCCCCTAAACCTCCCCCTAACCCTCCCCCTAACCCTCCGCCTAAACCTCCCCCTCCCCCTAACCCTCCCCCTAAACCTCCCCCTCCCCCTAACCCTCCTCCTAATCCTCCCCCTAAACCTCCCCCTAACCCTCCCCCTAACCCTCCCCCTAAACCTCCCCCTAACCCTCCCCCTAGACCTCCCCCTAACCCTCCCCCTAAACCTCCCCCTAAACCCCCCCCTCCCTCTCCCCCTCCTGAACCCATGTTCTGGGCTGGTTAATTTGGACCAAAAGTGGTCTATATTAGGGCATTCGTGACCTATATCGGACCAAATTTGGTCCAGTTTTCCTGACTAATTTTGGAATAGTTGGAAGGCTGAAAATATGACAAAATCAATGTTGAATTAAGGCGAATGTCAGGTCTAAATAAGGTATCTTCTTAGGAAAATTACTATCATTTTGTCCTGAAGTGCAACATGTACACCAATGTTTTTCTTCTTATGGTAGTTTCTGCCAAATATATAATATCTGGTATAGGCTGTAGTGAGGTGCCTTCTAGGGGGTACATCTTTTAGGTTTGCATATTTGTACCCTATCCTTTTTCTAGTTCACCCATTCCGTTGTGCATGCTTCTTAAAGCGGCGGTCTACATTCTAAAAGGGTATTTTTGGGGGCAATCTAGGTGCACGAACCCCCTTTGGCGCATGAG